CTTAAACTGTCTTCAGTCAATTTTTTGTCAATCTTGCCCTATTAGTATTTCTTGTCTTTACTGTTGAAAATAAATAACATGTATACTGCATACTCGACTTGCGTTTCTTTTGCGTGTGAGTAAACATATGGAGAGAATTTTGAAATTTTCTCACTATCTACTTAAACATAACTTAACAGTTCAGACGTAGGTGCTTTTATAACAATCCACGGATTTCTGCGTAAAAAAGAATTTGATTGATTTATGGCTCTATTTAGGAGTTTTATTGGATTCCCCCGCCCCCAGGCCAGGTTATCTAAACAAACAGCAAATAACCCCCTGCATTCGCGCTGAGTAGTACGTACTTCCAAAAAACAATAGTGTTTTCCTAAAAATAACACAATGTTTATTCTGTATTAAGTAGATGTCATCAAACTGGAAGTTCTCACCCAAGCAATGGTAATACTACCGGATCTCCATTATGTAATTTCTAGTTTTGGGATGACATATTGTTCTCAGTAACCATAATGTGGAAATATACTGAACAACAAAAGTTCCTGTGACATTGAATAACATTTAATGCAAAGTTATGTTTTTTACCAAATCTGAAACAATTTCGGTTTGCAACAGATAAAAGACTCCTGTAAGTGTTCAAATGGTTTCAATTTGCCATACTGACTTCAGAAAACGCGTGATTTCATTAAAAAAACAACATGAACATGCCAAAATGTCAATTTACAAATCAATAGCGTGTGTGTCCACCTCTGGTTGCGATGCAAGCAACACATCTTCGTCTCATGGAATGGACAAGGCGTCGCACAAAGTCGAGCAATATGAGGCCGGGCGTTGTCATGTTGAAAGGTAATGCCTGGGCCATGACGACGCAAAAACGGTAGAACAACAGGGCCGATGATCTCGTCGCGGTATCGCTGTCCATTGAGATTTCCCTCTACCACTATCAAACGGGTCCTCTGTCTTGCTGTAATCCCACCCCATACTAAAACGCTGCCGCCCCCGAACCGATCTTCTTCCATGACACAATGATTGACGTAACGTTCACCTCGACGTCGGTACACTCGAATCCGTCAATCGCTGTGGCTGAGGTGAAAACGAGATTCGTCAGTGAATAGAACTTGTCCCCACTGCATCGCCGTCCAGCGTAGACGCTGTCTGCACCACTGTAGACGTGCTTGACAGTGGTTTCCTGTCAAAATGGGACGTCTGGCGGGTCTTCTGGCGACAAGCCCTGCACATCTGAGGCGACGACGTACGGTTTGTGAAGATATTTGTCGAAGGGCAGGGATGCTTCTTGCAGTCACTGTTGCTGGCTGGAATCGATTTCGTAGGTGTGTTGTTCGAATCCAGTTATCTTATCGATTATTGGTTACGCGTGGCCTGCCACTCCGAGGATGATCTCTGACTGCATTCGTCTGTTTCCAACGTTGCCATAAACACCAAATGGTGTTTCTGTGGACGTTAAATTGTCTTGCATCACGTTAACATCACGTTGACTCGATCCTGCTTCAAGCATACCAATGGCTCGCAGACGCTTATTTTCGGACAGGCGTGGCATTTCGTAATGTTGAATAATTGCGTAATTTTGTTGTTTTTCTGAGTGGTTGTTGTCAGCACGATGCTAAACAATGCATATTGAATCCCGTTAACGCACATGTTTTTATACCCGTTCTTGGGTAGTGAAATGCATGCGTTTTTGTGACTTGATTCCATACGTGTACAATATTGAAAACAAATACTTTACTTGTTTGAAAAATACACCAAAATATTGGTGTCACAGGAACTTTTGTTGTTGAGTATAGATAGTTGAATGGTTTTATATTTGAGTTGGTATTTCCGCTATTCAAAGTGTGCAGTGAGGCCGTCTTATCAACAGTCATTTCTGAGACATAAATGCAAAGTTTTATTAATTAAATCTACTCTCATTTTTTGCATTTATAATTAACTCTAATGTTAATTTCAAGATTTACAATATATACCATTCAAAAGAAGTTAAAGAACATCCGATTCTTTCATATGACTATGGTTAGTCATTAGAGAAAGCGAAAGAGCGAAAAAGCGATAAAGCGAGGAAGCGATAGAGCGATAGAGCGAGAAAGACATAAGACGATAGAGCGAGAAATCGATAGAGCGAGAAAGCGAGAATGATGAAGTGCATGTAAAATAAAGTTTAACTTTCCCGCCAGGGGAGACTAGAGACTCGGATGTTCCCCGCCGTGATAGTACTGGATTATTGTTAAAAGCGACGTGAAACCATTCGCACTCACTCACAGCGGTGGTTATAAAATTACTGTATGCAAGTACATATACTTGTAGATTTGCACAAGTCAAGAGACACAATTCAAGTTAAACATACATCAAATGGCAAAAAGAACATTCACCGACAACAGTATGACACACTGTAACATCATATACTACCGAAAACAAGTTATAGAACATCCATAATTATAAGATTGTATTTTTGCAAAACAATCAGCCATGACTAATTAACCACAGTCTTCTGATCTTCTTCTGAAAAGTAAATGTTTAGATTTTAACCTGATTTATTTAGAGCGTATTGCCATGATCTGCCACGCGCTTTCGGCGTGATGGTTACATTCAACTGAATAGGCCCGTTAATCAATCAATTACATTTTACGCAAAACTCTGTGGATTGTTTTAAAATCACCTACGTCTGTACAGTTAAATTATGTTTTAAGTAAATAGTGAGAAAAGTTCAACATTCCCACCCAATTGCAGCAGATATCACATGCGGCCCCTATAGTATAGTGGTCAAGGGGAAACTGCTTAACCGCGAGAAAGCGATAGAGCGAGAAAGCCAGAAAGCGATAGAGCGAGAAAGCGAGAAAGCGATGTCCCCTCTCGGCCACCATAGGTAGTATATCTATATACAACCAAGTGTGTACAGCATGTTTCTGTAGCAAATAAACAGTTACACTATCTATCTCAGTCTTCCGACCTTGGACCACTCATTTTTTTTGTGGTGAATGCAGTCGATGGTGAGCAGAAATACTGAAGGGACAAGAAGTTGATGCCCCTTGCCAGATACATATAGACAATGCTGATCGACATGTTGTAAACGTATTGGCTGATGATGATCGATCTGTTCACAACCGACAGGAGCCAGACATCGCTCACACTTACAAAACATTTCTTATTAAACATGGCCAACGAACATGATCTGTGTACACATGTCAACAAATCGAAGTTCTTGTGTGGTGTCTTCTTGTACCGGTACATTTTTTATTATATTATAAATTTATATACCGCACTTATCCAGATACTAGTGTTTTAGTATCTGCTCAAATACGGTTTATTTGTTCCTCGACCAGTGGATCCGAATGCATTTCAGTTAACATTATCAACTCCCTGGGGAGTATACAACCCAAGCTGCCTGGGGGCTAGAGGATTTTACATCCACTGTACCTACCAGGTGCCCATTCCCTCCTGGACAACCAGAGGCACATTTGAACTAAGTCACTGGCTGGTCACCTACCATAGTATGAGTATGTTGTTTTTAGTGTACTGTACACTAGGGGTAGTGACAACAATGTAAAGACCTGTAAACACCGTTGGTCTATAGGCTGAATAACAACCCGGTCAGTAGCGGGATACGAAGCTTACTAGCCTGGCGCTTCAGACCATTTGCCCACTCTGCCCTATTTACAAATACAGTATGTACAAGAAAGATTATATTCTCATGAAAGTTGTAAGTCCGAAATTCTTTCAGCCCGACAATGTTATTTATTTTCACATCAGTGAAAACTACATTACAGTAAGACATTTGGCTCTTCTTGACAAGTGAAGATCCTGGGTAGAATAGGTCTTAAGCAACACATGCTTGCTGTGAAAGGCGACTATGCTTGTCGTAAGAGGCGACTAACGGCATCGGGTGGTCAGACTCGCTGACTTGGTGGATGCATGTCATCGTATCCCAATTGCGTGGATTGATGCTCATGATATTAATCACTGGATTGTCTGGTCCAGACTCGATTATTCACAGACCGCCGTCATATAGCTGGAATATTGCTGAGTGCTGCGTTAAACAACCAACCAACCAACCAACCAACTTCTTGACAAGTAACACGTTCATCTCCTTACCAACTACGTCAGCGTTTTCAGTCGTTACTGCTTCACTCATGGAAATATCAGATGTGTATAGACATTCAATGAGATATGTACATAAATATCCTATATCTATTAAGGTATGTGTTCAAAATAACTAGTAAGTATAATTACATGCGAAGCAAGTGTATTAAATGATTTAACGCGCAACGGCATTGTTGACGTGATACCTTTAGCATTGCCGTATTATTTAGTTACGTCATCGAAATACTTCTTGACGTCATGTAGCTACGGCCAGCTGCTCAAAAAAGTTCTGGTTACTGTATACCTTTTTCGCGAAGATTTGCCGGTTTACGTCCACTAGAATGAGTTTCGGCAGAAACTCGAGGCTGATTATTCCCTGGCTTTGGCGTTTTATATTTAAAGAGGACCTACTTCCTCTCTACATCTAACAATCAATTATGGCAAGTAAGAGGTTATTACATTCGCCTGCATTCAGAATTTACGTATAAGGAATACAACGATTCTGACACGAGTTTGTTTTAAGTCAGTATGATACACACGGCCATGTCTACCGTCCCTCTGCATCACTTTAAGGTTTAAGTCCATGTACACTATATGTTGTTCCGTTGACCCCATTCACGTGGTAAAACGCGCGTGACGACTGTTGGTCTAGTACTTGCGGATCGAGAGTTCCCCCGCGAGTTCACCCAACCCCCAGATCACGCGACAGACCTCAGGCGTTAAGGTGGATCATATGTCAGTACTATTTGCTATTTACGATAGTTTTGCTTGACAGCCTAAACATTTTATTAAAAGAAGCCACAGTCTGGAAATGTTAAAAAAAAGTTTTTTTAAAAGTCCTTTAGACGCTTCATTTAACTTTACAAGACAGAGACACTCTATATAATCGTGCGTATATCCAGATATATAAATCTTACCTTCAGGCTGACATGCAACCAGCGACAAGAAAAACAGAATCGCGATCCATTGAGGATCCATTCTGATAGCCCTGCCGAAATGGCGATTGCAGGTTAAAATTCGTTCTGTCGACGCGACCACCCTAGACCTGCTAGGGTTTCTAAATTTGATTGTGGGTGTTCATAGGTTTATATACCTGTTCCGCAGGGTATTCATAGCGGCTGAGCAAGGATCTCAACACAAGGACTAAAGAGGCGTGTTATTAACAATAGCAGGTGGGGGAACATACTTCGTGTGATTGGTGAATTCCCCCGGGTAGGCTCCTGCATAAACGTGGGAGGGACGCATCAGTGGATAATGTTTTTTATGGCTAGAAAATAAACTGTCGCATCTGATGATGACTGATGAAAAATAAAAGAAGCTATAAGACATCCCGAGGATTGAAGTTTGACGTTGACAGATTGATGATATACTAGTACTTATTATCAATTGCGCGATATCTTAAAATCTTATGGAAGCTGAACACAACTTGATCATCATGTATACGGTCCGGGAATGACCGCCAGTGACTACAGCTATTCATCAAGCTACTCGTGGAGTATTTCTATGTTCGGACGCCGTCAGGTTATTTGGGTGTTAGCTTGGGTGTTTTACGTCATATCTCTTACAGGAATGTTGTGTAGATTTAAAGATAAACGTGCACGTCAGACACCTAAAACATTCAGGTGATTTCACGGGTCAGAAAGCATATGGTACAATTCAAAACAGGGAATTGAATCGGGTATCATTCTTCACTGATGCGTCAAATTTTGTAATTTCCTCCAAATTTTGCCAAGCTCTTCAATACTGCTACCCTGATAAAACAATTTTGGAGCACGCTCTTTGAAATCTTCGTAGAAGGAGCATGCACGATTGTACCTCAAACATTGTGAAAAAAGCTGGACCTGCTGGATTATTACTCGACATAAAGGGAGAGCTAACTATTGCAGCTGAAGTTATCAAGGCTTGTGAAGATATTTTTGTCATGCTGAATCTTTATGCATAGATCTAAATATGAAACAGATAAGTAGGTTGCACAGGTCTCTTTCATTTCTAGGGCATTGGCTATGTGACCAATGATTGAAGAACATCAGGACATCTATATACACGTACCTTAAGATAACCTTCTTAGCCAAATTGAATATTCATAAAGAAACAGATCAGCAAGAAGGGGCACTAATGGTGCCCATGGGATGCCTACTTCTTGCCCACATTTCTGTCGGGTAGTGAGGGTTGAGCAAATAGAAGGTGAAGTGTCCATCGACTCGATGTGGAGTTATAGGTTAATCACTTCCCCTCGGCATAAAAAAGAACATCATTTGATATATAAGATTTTACATTTTGCATGATTTTACAGAATTGTATTCTTCTGCAACCACGCTTACACCTGGAAAAATTCATCTCCAAAATAATAACATTGGTATTAAAATATAATTCACAATTTAGGCAGAGCTTCAGATGCAATAATGAATGGTTTCTATTATATTTAAACACGTCACATTCTAACCGTGAAGATCCGGGTAAGAATTGATCTTCAGCAACCCATGCTTGTGGCAATGGCCGACTAACGGGATGGGAGGTCAGGCTCGCTGACTTGGTTGATGCATGTCATCGTATCCCAATTGCGTAGATCGATGTTCATGATGTCAATCACTGGATAGTGATTATATACAGAATGCCGTCACGTAGCTGCAATATTGGAGTGAGGCGTTAAACCACACACACACACAAAGAAAACATGTCACTTTCGTATATCCTACATAAAAATAACTTGCTATCAAATATAGTCATAAAAAACCGCGACATTCTGAACAACGCGGTCCAATCCCAGGTAATGCACACAACTAACTACTGGTTGTTACAGTTCATTTCAACATCATGTCAACGGTATTACTGAAAGTACAGTCATACCTCTGCTAGAAAGTATATTTGATATACAAAATAAACATGTCATCATTGTGTAACACAAAGATATACCACTGTAAGCCAACAAAGAATTACCGCTTAATTCAGATCTGAGGACATCCTATTACAGGTCACGTCAGAGCGACATTTTGCGAACTTTGATCGACCAATGAAATAACTAAAAGGAAGCTGACATTAGCCAGTGAAAAAGCCTATTTCTCGAACGATAGGGCACTAGTTTCAAACTGGCGACTTCCATTCCAGATTGTGCATTGAAAATATTTTGACAAAGTTTCGATTAAAAATTTGAAAACTAAACCAAACAGCATTCTTGAATGTCATATATATGGCCGCGATTGCATGGCAGTACTCCCCACGTGCTGTGGAAATTATCTATATACTTATAATTATATATTGTTTGCATTGTTATATTGTTTGCATTGTTATACAATGTGGCAGAGTGATATTTTGTACATACAAGTTAGGTTTTAATTCTATTTACTATGTCTTACTTTTGCCATATAATTGTATTTCAGTTTAAACATTAATACCATAGCTTATCTGTTTTATATTTATCCAGCCTTGACAAACCATAGCACTGCATGCTTTTCACCCACAGCACTTAAAAAAAAGTACTCATGGAAATGAAAAAACCCTGTTTTGCTGGATTTAATAATCGGCACAAAGCATTACGTAGATGTAAATACGAAATAACAAAACAACTGGAAAAGTACTAGTCTGGATTTGCTAGTTTTATCTCAGTGCTCAATACAAAATGTACTTTACAGGAGGTAATTTGAATGCACTTTCAACATTCAAAAATAAAACTAAGTCCAAATTGACATGGCAGAAACAGGCTATAGGCATTATGCAAATTAGCCTGGAAAAAAGTTATCAAAACAACAATAAAAATAACAGCTATGTTTATGTACATAATAATAATGACATGTAAGTTGTTGTTTGAGAAGGGAATATGTTACTTTTACGTTCTGATATTTTGACGATGATTCACTATCCCACAATGCCACTCACAAATCACTAACCACTGACAAATCACATGCACGTGGGTTTCAATCACCTGTTTTCACCTGTCGTCAAGGTGTCATAGGTCATGGACATTCACCTTGATCTACTAACACCTGGTTATGCTCAGTTTCACAATAGTCTGTTTTGTTCATATTTTTACTTTTTTGTACGTGTAAAAAGACATAAAAACCTTTGATACGCTGTATTTGTGCAAAGGCCCAATTAGTACTGATTGAGTTGTTTGAATTTTTATATATTTTGTATATTAACTGCATTTATTTAAAATATGAGATCGAAAATACAGGTTTTTTTCATTTCCGTGAGTACTTTTAGTATCCCAGTAGACTACTCTATTGATCTCTGTGGTCACTCACAGCTGACCACAGGTGTACCTTTGTTTTCTAGTGATCTTGGGCAGTTGCCAGATTACACTTGACGTATGTACATCATCGTCATTTTGTGTATTTCTAATTCTTAAAGTTAGAAATAAGTTGTGCTAGGTTTATTGCTAGTCAGGTTGTGTATTGAATTCACAGTTCAGTGTATTCTGGTTATGATTATTTTATATGATAAAGTATTATAAAGCAGTTTCTTTAATTGATAAATATCTAATTTATCCTAGGCTATTATCATCTTAACTTGAACATTAACTAAGTAAAACTAAACCCTAAATAAACTCATAGTAATTCTATACCTCATCACATTAAGGTAATTGTGTATAAGAATGTATGCTTATGTGTGAAAGTGCATTATTTAAGTAATTTGATAAATCCCTGTTTTAAATACCTATTTTACTTTTGTGTTGTGTAAAGTTATAGTGTAAATAGTATCTGCATTAGTTTATACTTTGTCAATGCAGATGTAACTGGCACTATCTTAGAAGCCTTGGTCAAACGGCACAGGTTTCACCAATCTGGTATGTATTGTTTATGTGTTATTCATGAATGTATAAATGTATGTATCTATATATATGCTGACGTCGTATATCTTTGTAATCATCATGTAGTATTGTACTTGTCTAATGTAATGACAGTAGACAGGGTTTATGTTTAGTTTAATTGATTAATAGGGTCATTGTGCAGGTTACTTACTACATGAGTAACATAGGTTTCTCGCTATATCTCGCTATTTTAAGTTCATGTAATTGAACGTCTATTAGATTTAAAGCCATTATGTATATTATAACAATGTCAATTTTTTATGTCTTTAGTGTAGTATCATTTATACATTGTTTCAGGCAGTATGTTCTCGCCTTTCACATTTCTCTTCTAAGAGAATAAACAGCCATCAGCTCACACCCTGTAGCCGTTCGTTGTGTTTGGTGCTACTACAACAATAATACAATATTATATTTATTGTACCATATTTATATTATATGTGTAAAACCACTAAACTGACATATCTAAGCTTATAATTGTGAATTCTTGTAACATGAATAGCTTCTAACTGAAGTCGATTATTATTTAATCTGCTTCGGTTTTAATGCGCTGGATAATTGTATGTTAATTGTTGTATTCCTTGTTCCAGGGTGTCAGTTTATCATCAAAGGGAAAATAAATAAACAGACCTCACACCCTAGCCTGTGTCATTATGTTTTGCTCCATATGCACGTATTTCTGGCTATAACAATAGTCATACATGTACACTTCGTGATCAACGTTAACTAATTCAAGCATTCACTTTTGAAATTATTTGGTATATCGTAGGAGTATCCATATAATCACTTTTAAAAGAGGTTCTTTTAGACTGACAAAGGAGATGCATGTATGGTACATATAATATATAAACAATATGATGTGCTCCTCCCTTTGGGGGAGACCCTGACCCAGGTAAGAAGTATTAAAACTGTGTGCCTCGACTGAAGTGGCATGTCGACATTATATTTTGGGGTGCAGTAAGAGAGGGTTGGTAAAGCAAACCGTGTTTCGGCATTGTCAATATATTTCATGGACGGCCATTGTGCTGTTTCTTTGCACTTGATCACGCCCAGAGGTGATCACGTGTATACGGTTACGCTAAACATTCCTTCATGACACACTTAATGTCAAGCCCTAGTCCCTCTATTGGAGCACACATCTTCTGAAATGTGAATATTGGGGTGTCGTAGTCCGTTATGGGCCCAGTGCAAACCATACGGAACAAGATGGCGTTAAATAACATACCTAAATACCAGTAGATTGG